AACAATTTCAGGAATTTGAACGTTATTTTTGTTGGGATATTCCGCCATTAATTTGATCAGGACGCGCGACAACTTACAATTTATTAAAATAATAGTAGTGAAAAGGCTTCATCTAAAAAGGAACAAAAAAGCTACTGACGCCATGAATATAGTTAAATGCTGCATCTAAAAAAAATGTGAGCCATTTTGTTAATCCATGCCTCATATATGCTGAATTTCATAATCAGAAGTGTGTGGTGTCAGTTTGATGGAGACTGGCTGTAACTGATGCACTATGTTGCTATTCGACAGTCAATATGTTGATAAAGAAAAAAAATGAAGATAGTACAAAATGTCATATATGGCAGATTGGAGAGAAACATTTGAAAAAAAAAACAGAATAGAGAGTTAAGACAATTGTAGCCAAACGTGTGTAAAATCAAGAAACATAATAAAGAATTCAGTAGCTCGTCATGAAGAATTGGTGATCCGATGTGATTTTCTTCGATACACTTAGATTAAAACTAGAATTTGGTCATCCAGTGTGGTCTTGTTAGTATGGGAACCAAATTTCATGGTTCTGAAGTAGAAAAAGATTGAATAAAAAAGGTAAGGTGGAAATACACCGTCTTGTTTGGATACTCGGAACAATGGAAGAAAGCCCAAATTAGATACCCAAAACACGTAAAAGATAGACTAGAAAGAAAACGATTTATGCTATTTTATAACTTATGAAAACAGAATTCGTTTCTCACTTCAGTTAAGGCTTTAATGTCAACTTTTCAGCATTTTTTACTATGATATAAAATTTTATGAAACTTATGTTAATATGAGTCTTGTATTTATATAGGTCATTGTAAGAACCTTGACGTAAATTTATTGTGGATGATCTAACGATTAAATTGGTTGATTTTTTTTACAGCTTATCAACCTTTTGCAGGTAATTCAAAGCCAGAAGATATTTTTAGATTATAAGTATTTGTGGGAGAGATAATTATGATTTAGTGATACACGCCTTACTAATTAACCTATAGCTTAGGGAAAATAAATTGTTTCGTATCTTACGCACAAGTATGTACGTATAAGTGGATATAACGAAACCAAGTGGAATAGTAATTCTGCTCTCTGATTAACAATTCTTAGCCATAATCCATTACACCACCCGCACATCCAAACGTACAGCACCTGTTATCTTCAAGCAGTCTAGGTACTGAACAGGCTCGACGTTGCTTAACTTTTGTGATCGTACGGTAACTGGTATTTCAACGTGATGAGGCCGTAAGCCTAGCAATTAAATGTACATTTTCGTCTTAGTAAATTGCTTTCTCTTTTATTTAGAGTAGAATTTGAGTTCATGACTGTTTCCAAATTTATACTGGTCCCTCTCTGTCACGTGGGTGTGTCGAGCTATATACAAATATGTTTAGTAGAAATTCAGAACTAGTAGATCATTGACGCCATAAAATATGTTTTTTGGCTTCCATTATTGCCTTTACCATTTGGTAGCACGAAAAGACAGTTGAAATATTTGGGAAACACGAGAAGGAAAGAAATTCTGGAGAATCTAACACTCAGAAGACATATCAAAGACAAGCGTCCGAACATTGAATAATTGCGGCCAGTTTGATAATGTTAAACAACAGATTTAACATCAACATTCTAGGTGTATGTGAAACCAGATGGCCAAACAATGTTGATTTTGTCAGCGGCAAACACAGGATAATTTATGCAGGCGGTGAGAAGAACGACAAAGGAGCAGGACTAATACTAGATAGCGCATTTAAGAAATACGTTTTATGATACCATCAACTTTCCGAAAGAATTCTGAAGGTAAAGCTGAAAGGGAAGGGCATGACGATTATAGTAGTGTACACACCGACGTCATAAAGCTAAGAAGAGGACATCGAATCTTTCTACACCATGCTGGAAAGTGCCAAGGCTCTATGCAAATCACAGGAAGTCATCATTATGATGAGTGACCTAAACACCAAACTAGTTAGGGAAAGGGCAGGGAATATACCAGAATGATTTGGACTAGGAAGCCGCAACGAACCCAGAGAAAAATGGATCCAATGGTGCACAGCCAATGACCAGGTAATAGCCAACACATGGTTCTAAGAACATCCGTTGACTATGGACATGGGAGAGTCCAGGAGGAGAAACTAAAAACCAAACTGATTATATAACCATCAACAAAAGATTCAGGAATGCAATGATTCACTGCAAAGTCTACAAAAGTGCCGACTGCGGAAGTGATCATCGCTCTCTTATATGTAAACTAAAAGTGAAACTGCGGAAATTGGAGAAGCTTAACACAGTACACAAACGGGAATACAACAAACTCCTGAGCGATCCTAACCTAAAAGAAAAAATATATGGATAACGTTAAAAGAAGATACGCGGCATACAATGGAAACTCGAAATGGGACGCACTGAGGAGCTTTAGTGACATCAGCAAACGATATCATCCCAAAAGAGACAGAACGAAGAAGGAAAAACGAATGGATGACTGATGAGATTCCCGACATGATGGAAAGAAGACATAAAACTCTGCCAAGAGACGGAACGGAGTACAGAAAATTACACAATTAAATAAGGACCAAATGCGGGCAAGCTAAAGAAGAATGGCTAAAGGAAAAATGTGCAGAAATAGAAAGATTGAGTACCACCAACAAAAGAGATATGCACAAACAAATAAGGCAACTAACAGTACAGAAGACATGCTTGTCAACAGACTTGCTTAGAATCAAAGGATGGAACGCTCATATTAGAGAAGGAAAAAATTTTCAACGCTAGAGCGAGTATATTGGAGAACTCTTCTACGACGAAAGAGAACAACCAGCACTACACAGAACTACAGACAGACCTGGAATTTTGAAAACTGAAGTAAAAACCGCACTGGCCAAATTGAACAGAAACAAGGCAGCTGGGCCAGACAGAATTGTAATGGAAATGCTGACAGCCTTGGAGTAATTTGGCATAGACAAGATCACCGAAATAACAAATGAAATCCACATCAGCGGGGATATACTGAAAGACATCAACAGATCTATCTTCATAGCAATGCCTAAGACACCAGGTGCAAACGAATGCGAACTCCACCAAACAATAAGCCTAATGAGCCACGTGAGAAAACTCATCATCCGTATTCTGATGAATAGAGCGCGCAGCAGAATCAGGCTAGAGATAGGACAAGAACAGTGCGGGTTCGTTAAAGACACCGGAACAAGGAATGTAATATTCATGCTCAGAATGTTAGCAGGTAGAGCGATACAAATGCAGAAGGACGTGCACCTATGTTTTATAGACAAAAACCTTCGACAAATTACGCCACAAGGAACTGTTTGAACTGCTCATCAACCTTGATATATTCGGGAAAGTTATCAGAATAATCAAGAACCTATACTGGCGGCAAACAACACGCATCCGCATAGACAACCAGTTCATCGAATATACAAAAATAAAAAGGGGCGTAAGGCAAGGATGCGTTTTCTCACCCGACCTGTTCAACCGATACAGCGAGGCAATTCTGAGAGAATTGGAAACCCTACCGGGATTTAGCATCGGTGGCCAAAATCTTAACAACATGAGATACGCAGATGAGACAGTACTGATAGCAGACACGGAAAAGAAATTACAAAATCTCCTACAGAAGATAGCGACGGAGAGTGAGAAAAAGGGACTAAGCATAAACTACAAGAAGACAAAATGCATAGTCATCAATAAACGATTTGCAGGTCGAGAAGACTAGAATCAAGCAGACGCCGAAGTTTAAATATCTGGAAAGCGTTTTGACAGAGGACGGTAAGTACGACACTGAGATCCGTAGACGTATTGGGATGGTCAAGGACACATTCCAAAAGCTAGACAGAGTATTGTGTGACAGGACGATTTCTTTGGTAACAAAGAAAAGAATACTGAGCTGTTACGTGACATCTGTTCTTCTTTACGGCGGCGAATGTTGGAAGATTTCCTCAAAGATGAAGAAGAGACTCGAGGTAACGGAAATGTAGTTCTACAGAAGGATGCTAAGGATATCATGGACCGAGCGTGTGAACAATGATGGAGTTTTTAGAGAGGATGCAAATAAGGAGGAGGCTTATAATTAACATCAGGAAGAGGCAGTTGAATTATCTGGGACGCATAATGAGGAAGGAGAGCCTGGAGAATCTGATACTCACGTGTCCAGTAGAGAACAAAAAAAAAAGAAAGGAAAACAACGTGTGACATGCCTAGCGGGTTTGAGCAAGTGGATAACAGAGCGTGGTCTGGGGGTGATGGTAGAAGAAAGGAACTTGTTAAGAGTTGCAATGGATAGGAGGAGGTGGAGATCCATGGTTGCCTACGTCCTGAAAGGACATTGCACATAAAAAGAAAGATGAAAGGGGGAAACAGCGAGTAATTAAGATAGTAAAAGAAGAAACGTTACTTGAAACAAGAGAGGAACGACCAGAAGGGTCACAACACATAAAAGAAACATGACGAGTTCGTTCTTTATTGTCATTTTTTAACTATGTTTTAATTAACACAATTGTTTCAAGCTAGGGGTGTTTCCTAGGCAGCTTTTAAACACCAGCCACTCACGATTACTTCCTAGCAAAAAATCAATACTTATGAAATTGGATCAGTACAAATGTATATTCTTTATGCAAGGATAAACGGTATTAGTGACCGGCCCAACGGATATGGCTAATATTAGTTGCTTCAAAGATATGTTAGTCATAAACATATTTAGATACAAAAAGCAGAAAATATAGCAATATCACCCTTATAGGACTTTACATTGGGTAGAAAAAAAGTGAATCACAAATGAATAAACACGGAAACTGGTGACCATGCTCCAAGTTCTAAATTCCATGAATGACAACGAAAGGTTTTGTGTAAAAGGTTTGTTCATAAAGATCAAAATGACATCTATTCATTTTCTACGGGTTATTATAACTGAATATAACAAAACCGACTGCAATTGAAACTCGGCTCTTGGATTAACAATTATCCATTACACAATCTGCACATCCAAGCTTACAGCACCTGGTATTCTCAAGGAGTCACCCATCTACGTACTGACGAGGCTCGGCGTTCCTTAACTTCGGTGATCTTATGGGAACCGATGTTTCAATGTAATATGGCGTAAGCCTAAATGATATTTAGAAAAAGCAATAAGGAATAAAGAAAATTGTTGAGGCTTTGTTCGGGCCAGAAATAAAGACACAAGACAAGAACTGAGTTAAACAAACATATTAACAGAAAACAGTAATACAAACATATACCTGGCTTATGTCAGAGGGTATGCCCCAGACGAGGCTATGCCCTTTGGGCAGAGTCTCGTCTCGGAAAGCTGACTCCGTTTTTTACGTGGTCTATAGGGAGTTTTTGCCCGAGCCTACGGGCTTGGATTCCCCACTTTAAACTCGGCCTTGTGCCACATCTTGCTGCGTGGGTAAATAATCATATACAAACGAGAGTGTTACAGCAAGAACGTTCGGTCCGACTGTCAGAGCTGACCACTGGAAACTTTCCTCAATCCAAAAGGCAGTACCTGCTCCTATTTATAGCTGCCAGAGTTTCTGCATGCGTGGGTAAATTACCATAACAAAAAGATTTATCACCACTGTATAAAAAGCGTGCGTAGGCTAAAAATAAAAAAACAATGAGGGTTTTCCAGTAACAAGAATCCATGGCTGGAAAGCAGGTATTAATCACAAATATGCACGGAGAACAAAATGAAGACAAAGTGCAGCTTTGCAAAAAGGGGATGTTAATTAATGTTCTTTGCCACTGAATGTGTTAAAAGGCGGAAATAAACACTCGTGGTTAAACTGCGCCCGGAAAAAGAAACAGAATCCTTTACCAGACCAGATTTAATTGATCGATTGGTTATTTGTTTACGGTTTATCAACCCTTTTGTGAGTTATTTAAAGCTGAAACATAATTTGGATTGTATTAATATTTTTTTTTTTTGCAAGTGAACATTGGATTAAAATTTTTTTGGAGACAGTAATGATTTTTTCAGGTACAAGTCCCACTGTTTAACACATATCTGGGGAGAAGAGTTCGATTCATTCTTTCTCCTTTAGTTGCGCGTAAGTGAATGTAACAAATTCGACTAAAATTTGACATCATTTCTCCATTTTCTTATTTTGAGCCTCTATCCATTACCCCACCCGCACATCCACTTTGCATCCAATAAAAAATGCATCATGATGAATTTAAAAATAGATAATCCAAGCACCAACAAAATAGAAGAAAAAAGAGTGAGACTATAACGTTATAACAATTAGACACAAAAAGCTTGCTCAAAAGAAATGCAAAAGCGACAATAACAAAGAACAGAGATTTATACACTGTGAAGTATATGATTTATGCCAGGAAATAATAATAATTTAATATACAGCAGAAACATTTGCTCTGAAACGAGCTGATCTGTGGTACCCCAATATGTACTGGGTTTAGCTTAAGAGATACCAAAGTAAGCAAAGTTAAATACGAACGTCAAAAGTGACTCAGACGGGTGGCATAAAAAGGATTACATATTCACCAATGGTAAAAAGAATGTCGGTGGATTCATGGATATAAACAGAAAGTTAAGCCAGTTGAACTTAGGATATAAACACACAAAGCAATTGGGTGACAGAAAATTATGTAAAAGCCCGACTCAATGGAGAAAAGGCATAATATATCGCATCGCCGCGAGAAGATCGAATGTTCCAAGAAAGTGCCTAAAAACCACATACCTTCCACGACTGACTTTAAGTTCAGAAGTGAATAAACTATTATATTACGTATGAAATATTGTACGTTACAAAGAATTATTGTAACTCCTATTTGGGAAGGATATTAGAATAAGCCAGAAGCTATATGTTGTAGAGTAAATAAGAGACCTCCGAAAATGAATTAAGCAAGAACTGAAAATGACTAGCTGCGACCTGTTCCAGCAAAACAGTCGAACTCTCGGCCTCTGAGCAGAGAGGAACCCGGACGAGGCACCACCAAATGGCAGATGCTCGTTCGGGGAGGTAGACTGACCTGAACACGTTTATGCGGGTTCAGAAAGGGAATATTTTTGGTCGAGCCTACGGGCTCGGAGAACCCACGTTAAACTGGCCTTGTGCCACATACAACCCTCGTGGGGGGAGAGGGTAGCTAAATATACAAGCAAGAACTGAAAATGATTCAAGAGCAGTCAGTTGGAATCAGTCTGCTATCTGGCTCGCGATTGTCAAGCATTGTGTCTTCGTTTACGATTCAGTCGGAGCTTTGTCTACAGACAAAGACTGGGCTGAGAAAAAATAGACGATGCTTGTCAAGCTCTCTGTCTTTGTCTTTAAATACCTGTCTGCTGGAGACAGTCCAGAGTTGTGTTAAGCCTTACTCAGACCGATTCTAGTCCCGCCACGCGCACGACTTATTTTGTCGCTAACCGATTGGAAATCATATTTTTGTGTTGTAAGAACTGTTATATTTTACGTTAAGTTTATCTCTTATTTTTTTACTTTTTTGCTGACTATTTTTTGTGGGAGATTTTTTTAATTTTCTTTTTAGTCGTTATTTTATTTTTGTAGTGTAACATCTAGTTTCACTAGTTTATTGACTTATTTTTTGTGTATATTGTATTTTAATTTTCAGTTTCTTTTATCTTTCAGTCGTAAATTTAATGTTTTGTTTTATTTTTCTAATATCTCCTCTTTTTCTTAATCGTTTTAGATTTCATTTTCTACGTATTACTTCTTTTTTGTGCTTTAAAGTTAACTCGTCTCCAACCAGACACAAGGCATGTTTAATTTTAGTGTCATTTTTATTTCCATTTACTTATTATTTAATCTGTTTGTTTTTCTTTTCTTTTCTATTTTTGTTTAATTGAAAAAAAATTTACACTTGTTTTTGTTTCATAATTTTTTTCTTTGTAGTATTTATTTCTTAATTTGTTTATTTTGCTGGTTTTAATTTTTAAAAAAGGGAAATTTTGTAAGTTAATTGCGTCGTTTCAATAAATTTTCCCTTTTCTACTCAACATTTTCTTTTTTTTTCTCATTTTTGATTGTTAAATTTGTTTTCCTTCTTTTCGAGGACTTTGTTTTAATTTGTAAACTTTTTACCTCAAAAACCCTTTTTACCTCAAAAACCCTTTCTTTAAACCAACTTTATTAGTTCTTTTATTTTCATTGTCTTCGTAAATTTGTTTTTCATTATTCTGTATCTGTTTAAGAATTTCTGTTGTTTATTTATTATTTTTTAAAGAAAAATCCGTTTTTCATTAAAAAAAAAAGGAAAGAAAAGTAATTTAAAGTAAACAAAAATGCCTGATAAACGTTGGCTATTTAAAAAAAAAAAACCTGTCCGTGCTGAAAAGGAAAGATCCTCCTGATAAAAAACACTCGATCTAGAGTGACCACAAAGAACGTAGCCATGACGACGAAACAGATTCAAAGAAAAGTATGGAGGTTAAGAATAGCCAAAATCAAGAAAAAGTGTTGCCAACTGACACCAGTAACAACAACAACAGCAAAAGGGAAAGCAAAGATGAAAATGTAGTGGCCGGGGATTCACCCGTTTGCTGGAAGTCCCTACCATTATGCATAATCAACATGACGGAGTTCCGGGAAAGAGTCAAGCGATACGCACATCTTATCAAAGAAGATGGCTCTTGGTAGACCTTCAGGACTTACAGAAGGTTGAAAGAAGAATTGTGTCAGGCTTTATGGTATTTCCACAAAAGTCACTGTGATAAAATCACTGGCATCCCTGAGAATGAAACGCCAAAACGTCATGGAGCAAGAGATATTTCATGTGGAACGTATGTTACCCACGCATGCCGACTGTGAGGACCTTATCACAAAAGACCTCATCATAAGAGCTAAATATGAGGGCAGACGAAACAAACATCTTTGAGGTCTCTTCTCAAGTTTTAGGGGAGCACTTGGCCGATTATCTGGCTCAATTTGGGTAGATACTCAGTGCTTCTGACGACCTTAACTGGGAGTGTAGTTTCGAGATAATACTAGATCGAAAAGCCTTCATCTCCATTCCCAACTGTCTGGATGTAGAGGGCCAGAAAATACCGGTCATTGTGACCAACCGTAAACAAACCTGTTGGAAATATGGAGAGACTGGTCACCTATTCCTTTTCTGCCTAGAGAAGAAGGCATCTGAAGTTTTGGCTCCCGTCAATCCAAATCCTCCTCTGGTCGAATTTGTTATTTCCGTCTAACCTGTGATGGCCATGCCAACGATTGAGACCAGTGTGGTTAAATCCCCGATTGGGTCCAAAGCGCAGCCCCCATTTCCCGAAAAGTGTTTGCCAACCGCTTGTGCGATCATCGAGGAGGAAAAGGGGGAATGGCTGGTTGCTGACAGGGCCAGAGAGAAGCTCTGGACAGCAGGACCTCAGTTCCTGAAAGCCCCCACTGGTAAAGAGACGTAAAGTTCAACATCGACCAGTTCCAATGATGACGACCCGGTCAGCTACTACGCAGAAGCAATCAGAACTCAGTGTCTCAAGTACGAACCAAGTTTTGAAAAGAAGGAGAAACTAGAAAAACTAAATGAATCCTTAAAAACAAGAGAATTCAAGTCAGCAGTGCGAAAAATGTCCCCCTCTTTTTTGGCACCGTCTTCCCGTTCAATCAAAAAACATGACATGACACCACCTCCAGTATCAAAATCACTGACTCTCACCCCTTCCAAAATAACCGCTCTCAAAAAGGCTCCTTCTACTAAATCACCAGCATAAAGAACGACTACACCTTCAACCACTTCCAATTCCCAAACACTAAGAGAGTCCTAACAGTGGTTCGACCAGAACAAGGATCCCAACAAATATGGAGTATGCTTCAGGAAGAGAATGGCGGCTTTACTACATTCCATCCTATGGCGTTTTTCGATGACAACAATGTCAAAAAGTTAAATCAATTTTATTCAAGGAAACTCCCGCTTTTTGTTCACCTCTACTGTTATAAAGCCCTAAAGTTAATATTCCCCTGGGACATTCGTGGACTGTCTCTTGATGGCACCATCAAGAGTGAGACAGGCCATTTGTTAATGGGACATGCCATCGGTGTTCTCACCATGGCCATGTTTAATACAGATCCACAACCCTAATCGGACTGATCATGTATTTTTGA